AATTAGTTTTGGTTCCCAGTTAATACCAGATTCAATCCAATGGTAGCACCTGTTAGGGTCCCAGCTATGGGTAAATAGTTAACTCTCAAACTGGGGTCAAAACTATGAAAGAAATAAAAAATTAAATTTTATTTTGAAAATATCAGCAATACAGGATTCGCAAAAAAAAAAAATGTTACCCAAAATACATTAATTCGACAAGAACTAAAATAAAAAAATTTGATCTACAGGATTTCATACAAAGAAATACATATTCCATTCATACGATCCTATCCTAAAAAATTTTCGCATTAAATATTTAATTTTTGAGTAAAAATAAAATAAAAAATAAAATAAATCAAACCATTTTATTAAAATCTTATTTTTAAAAGTACAAAATATTTATATTTTGAATATTCTTTTTTATGGTTTTATATGGGAAAACTAAAAAAAAATTAAAATCAAAGTTCAAAAAATTTAAAGAAAATAAAATCAAACCAAAACATTTAAAAATGTGAACTCAAACTTTTTTGATTTGATTTTTTGCCTGATCCATTTATTTATTGCTGGAAGAAATGACCTGTAATAGAAAAAAATAAATTTTGAAACAATATGGTTTTGATTGAAGGATAAAACACTTTGAAAAAAAAAAAAAATTTTCTCATCAGAATATTATCCGGAAGGTCTGGTGGCCCGTCATTGAAGTCATCCATTACAGCTTACGGAGATCTAGCTAAATTTACTTACACTATTTGCATTATTCGGACTATTGTCCTCATCTTTGTCGCCATATTTTTTACAGCGTTTCGGCCCTTCAGTATCTGTCTATATTTCTGAGATGAGGTATTATTTTTACTATTTACATTATTCAGACTATTGTCCCTCATCTTTGTCGCCATATTTATTACAACGTTTCGGCCTTTAGTATCTGTCTATATTTCCGAGATGAGGTATTATGTACATGTATTTACATTATTCGGACAAATTGTCCTCATCTTTGTCGCCATATTTATAAACAACGTTTCAGCCTTTGTTTCTGTCTATAATTCTGAGATGAGGTATTATGAACAACTATTTAAAGTATTCGGACTACCATTCCTCATCTTTGTTCATATTTATTACAACGTTTAAAATTTCAGTATCTGTCTATATTTTGAGACCTTTATTATGTACACTATTTACATTATTCGGGGTATTTTCCTCATCTTTGTCGCCATATTTATAAAAACGTTTTGGAATTTGAAAATCTGTTTATATTTCTGAGATGAAAGTTAATATTATATACATTACTATAAATTTTTTATACTGGTTTTAAATTTCAATTTAGTTCATACTAATTATTATGGTCCGGTTCCTTGTACCACGGTGATAGTCCAAGGTAGAACCAATAAAAAGAAGAACTCGAACACGGATATGGAATAACACAGATATATATACAGACAAACAGGAATATGAACAGAGAAGTAGAAAAGTGTTAGTACGAACAATCAGGTCCAAGTAGTAATTGTCTGAACGCGACTCTGTTTCGGACTGCCTCTGACTCGACTGACTGACTCTGACTCGCTCACTGACTCTGACAGACTCTGACGGACTGAACTCCAGACTTCAGACTGAACAGTTTTTAGTCACCCCCCCACGAGGGCATTATCTGGCACAAGGCCGGTTTAACGTGGGATCTCCGTGCCCGTGGGCTCGGCCAAAAATATGCCCTTTGAACCCGTATAAACGGGTTTCAGGGTCGGTTTACCTCCCCGAAAGAGACTCCGCCCTTCGACGTAGCCTCGTTCGGTTTCCTCTCCGCCCGTAGGGAGAGAGTTCAACCGATCAGCCGGTCGCTCGACTTCGGGCTGAACTCCCTGGTTTCTCTTGAGGCGCATTATTTATTACGTATAGAATAGTCCATTATGGGTAAGGTCCTATAACAATAATATTTTAAAGTTTGAAATCATATGTATTTTTGGCAGATGAATTTTTTTAAAACTCTTTCTAAATCTTTGATTGTCTTTCAACCATTTAGCCTCACCTGCTAACCTCTTCCGCTGCACATATGAGACGCGCTATACCGTTTGGGAACCACTCTCTATATATAGGACTTCTGATCATAGTAACAGGTCGAAAGGCATAGCGTTGAGTCGTATGCATTGCCGAACTGAACTATGGTATTCGCTATTATAATATTAATCCATATCACTCATGGGATTAAACCTTTCTTAAATCTTTATGTTAAATGTCGTCTTTAAAATATCAGATTAAAATAAACTACGGGCGTTGTAATAGATAGCACGAATGGTGTTATACGTTCAATCTAGGTTTTTTTTTTTTTAAATTTAATAATTCAATATGGAACTCATTCTTTGGCATTCCATAAATCCAGAAATTCAAAGCGATTCGCTTTTGATGTCCAGTTCTTTCTTTTTTTTCAACGATCTCTCCTATTTACCTGGTCTTCCAGTCCAACCAGTGTTTTCTCTCTCTTCCTCGCCTGGTTGATGCCAGTCTAAGTAGTAAATAGTTAATCAGAATTGTAATAGAAGAGAGAAAGAGATATGATTAATGATCCACACAAGACTGGTATGGATGGACAGAACATATAAATGGAGCATGGTGGTATGGAAAGGCTGAGGGCGGAGCGACTGATTACAGGAAAAAACGCTAAGAGCATGACTTGTGGAACTTAATCATGGTTGACTGGAAATTGTAGATGTTATTTCTGGAAGCGATTTAGGTTGTTATCAGGCGGCAAAGTGGGGGACATTTATAAGCGGTTCGGACGGGAAATTCAAACAAATGGTAACGCGTTGTAATCAAAATAAAAGTTGTATTGTTTTTTTGTTTTTTTTTTTTAAGCAATTCACCCCAAGCAAGGCAGGAGAGCCACTAGTACGTAATATATATATATTACAAAAGACGTTTTAAAAATGGTCGGCTCATGTTATCTTAACATCGATTTAATGGGTTTTTATCTCTTGGTCTCTAATTTTTTATCTAATCTACATGACCTATAAAAAAAATATCTTACATAATTTTGCCACTCCTACAATAATATGTTCGATATATATATATATATATATATATATATATATATATATATATATATATATATATATATATATAAAAAATTGAAAACCAAAAAAGACTAAAGACATTTGTTTTGGTCGAAAATATTTAATCAGCACCGCAATGCATGGTGAAAAGAAAAACATCGAAAAAAAAAAAAAGTGCTCATTTACACCAAGTGGAGCCTCTAGTACCTTTTACAAAGCCCGTTAGGTAAAAAACCGTGTTATGCTACGAGTTATTTATATTTATATATATATATATATATATATATATATATATATATATATATATATATATATATATATATATATATATATATTGACTATATAACCCCAAAATCAAACAACGCAGCTTTAATTAAATTCTCAAACCAAAACAAAACTATTAAATAAGTGATATAAACAATTTTTACTATGTTAACAAAAAACACCGATTAAAAATAAATAAATATATAAATAAAAGAAATAAAAAATAAAAAATAAAAATAAATAAAAACTAAGCAAAATAATTTAAACCAAATAAATAAATAAACAAATAAACGACTTACGGTAAAATAATGTTACCAAAATAGACTACCCACAATGCTATTTATACCTGTATATATATAAATAACTGAGAAAAATAACAGCACACGTGGCCTGACGATTACATATAGCATGAAACAGACTGTCGGCTCTAAGTGTTGACTTCAAATATTCACTTATATATATATATATATATATATATATATATATATATATATTGACTCTATATGTCATTTTCTGGGTATTGAGATAAACAAGCAGCGCAATTCTTAAAACAAATAGGACATATAAATTGATTATAGTGGTGAAGGCTTTTACAGAAGCAATCCCACTTTTCAGAAGACCCGAATGCTAAGAACTGGTTGAGAACGTGCCACAAATTCCCCAAACAACCTTTCGAGGGTTTTGAATCCAGTGTTGTTCTTCTCGTAGACTGGTTGCCACCCAAGGCTAAGGAGCCCAGTCTTGCTATTTTCCCATAGGTGAGGGACAAGAGAGAGATTCATGACTTTTCTAATTAAATGAATATAATGAACTCGACTTGAATTCGAACTCGAGCAGTTATTAATTACTTCACCGTGCCTCATATATGAATATATATATATATATATATATAATGAAATTTTGGAAAAATATTTATCTCTCTCTCTCTCTCCCTATATATATAAAAAATGAAAAATGTGTGTGTGTTTTGTGTGTGTATGTGTCTGTGTGTGTATGTGAGTGTCTGTATATCTATCTATCTATCTATATATATATGTGTGTGCCTCATATATGTATATATATATATATATATGAAGCATGGTGGATATACCTCTTTCTCTCTCTCTCTCTCCCTATATATATATATAGGAGTGTGTGTGTGTGTTTTGTGTGTGTATGTGTCAGTGTGTGTATGTGTCTGTATATCTATCTATCTATCTATATATATATGTGTGTGTCCATGTGAGTGTCTGTGTATACATCTATCTATATATATATGTGTGTGTGTGTATGTGTGTGTATAGGACCTGTGTATGTATCTATCTATCTAATATCTATCTATATATGTCTGTGTGTGTGTGCATGTGAGTTTCTGTGTATATATGTATCTATATATATGTGTGTGTGTGTGTATGTGTGTGTGAGTGTCTGTGTATGTATTTATCTATATATATGTATGCGTGTGTGTGTCCATGTCTGTAAATTTATCCATATATATATATATATATATGTGTGCGTGTGTGTGTAAACGGTGGAATGTGTGTGTGTGTGTGTGTGTGTGTCAAAATTTTTTGAATATATATATATATATATATATTTATATATATATATATATATATATATTAAAATCTGATTTGAAAATTTTATGCAGTTATTCTTATTCAACTGAATTTGCCCGCTACTAATGTCTTAGGCAAAGCTTCGACAATTGAATTACAAATATGCGAGTTGCGCATGCGCAAGCCAGGATCACTTCCAAGACAAAATGAAAGCGAAAACCGCCTCCTGGTTACGGCGTCGGCCATTGTACTGCAAGGTTACCGTTTCCTCCATTGTTTCTTTGTTGTTTCAATCAAACCAGGATGATATTAGTCCGCCTTTGTTGCTCGCAAAAAGCTGTTAACGTTAAAAGATCAGTGTTCTATGTGCATTACTCTCACGCGTTCGATGTCGTTTCGAAGTGATTTAAACCAAGGGACGTGACTGATGACTGTCGAAATGGTTGTGGCCACCAGAGCGTAGGCTGAAGAACTGTTAATGAACGACAAAGAATAAAGAGGCAAAGCAGAAGGGAAAAATTGAGGAGATATCTAAGTTTGAGACGCGAATAGACGTTCAAGAAGATGATGAATTTTTTCATGTCTAAATGCGCCATCATGAATTCTAAATGTTTAACGATCTCTCATTTAAAAGAAAAATTATGCGTTAACTTTAAACTTTTGATGAGTTTATACACCAGTTCACACTTTACCAGAATTCATGAATCTTTTTTTCCTTTCCTTCCAATCTTACATTTTTTTACAATGCTGTTCACACTGTATAAGACGCGAGAGTCACTCAAGGAAAAGTTTACATATGAAGAGCCATAGATTTTAAGGATATTTTTTAAAGCATTTCACCCCATGCTGGAGAGCCACTAGCACGCAAAGTGTTATAGAGAATGAAATCAAGAGAAAAGAGAGTTGTTTGAGGAAAGGAAATAGACAAGGACTGGAATCAGGATCAAGACTTCAGAAGATGTCAATTGATATTTTATTTTATATTTGAAGATATACAGCTATCAGGGAAGAAAGTGAGAGGAAGGAGTTCCATTGGGAAGTGCGATATCCAAGTTTCAGTTTTAGTAGAAGAGACGGTTAAAATTTAACTGTTTATGCCCAACAATTTTTAAGCATTTCACCCAAACAAGAACCTCCAGGAGTGTCACTAGCATGAAAGTGGTTACAGAGAATGAGAGCAAGAGTAAAGAGGGGTGTTTGAGGAAAAGATAAAAAGAAGGACGTGGATCAAGATCAAGGCATGAGAAGATGTCGATTGACATCACATTTACATTTTTATAGATTATAGTTGGCACAGAAAGAAGAAAGAAGAAAGGAGTTCCACTGTTGAGAAGTGCGAGAGAAGGAACTCTTGGAATAGAAGAGGCGGTTACATTTAACTGTTTCGACTGAGATGCTAGTCTAGTAGCACGCTTAAATTCATGTAGTTTGCGAACCCGTGAAAATAGCTCGTCAGAGGTGTTGTCATGAAAATATTTGTAGAAAAGACCGAGGGAAGCCACATCACGTTTATGAGAATATTGACTGTAGACGAGCTGCCAGGTAAGAGGAAGGGAGTTACACTGTCTGGAAGTGTGAGAGAAAAACCGTTGGAGTAGAAGAGGCGGTTACATTTAACTGTTTCGACAGTGAAAAGGTGGGACCGAAGTGCCAACCTAGTATCACGCTTAAATTCATGCAGTTGGGGTACAAGTGAAAGTAGCTCATCAGAGCAGTTTCCATGAAAATATTTGTAGAAAAGACCGAAGGAAGCCACATCACGTCTATGAGAAAGTCGCTGTAGACGATATGCCATGGAAGAGGAAGGGAGTTACACTGTCGGGAAGTGTGAGTGAAAAAGCCGTTGAAGTAGAAGAGGCGGTTACATTTAACTTTTTCCACAGTAAAAGGGTGGGAAAGAGATGCCAATCTAGTAGCACGCTTAAATTCATTCAGTTTGGGAATCAATGAATACAGCTCGGTAGAGTAGATGCGATAAAAATATTTGTAGAAAAGACAGAGGGAAGCCACATCACGTCTATGAGCACGTGACTATAGACGAGATGTGGGGGAAACATGATAGTTAACACTAGATTTGAACTGGTTAAAATTGTAGTTATCGGGAAAATATCCTCTTGGAAGTTGGTTATCCAGAGCAACAGGGAATAATAAGTGATTATGGGTGGTTCTCTACAATGTGCTTGTTATGGCGGGTCTTAGCCGTGAAGTTAAAAACGAAACGATTACTCGAGTGGAACTTATGTCTCACCAATGGACTAAGAAGGGAATGAAGCTGGTTCGCTTCAATCTGAGTAGCATGGTGTGTTTTAGCCGTGAAGGTCAAAACTTGTGGAACTAAGAAATTTAGTCCGTCTGAACTCTTTTCATGGAACGTAGAGACAGAACAGAGAGAGGAGGTTTGCAATGTTTTAGTCTGTGAGAAAGGAATTGCACGGTGGAAAATAATTCATCACCCACAAGGACGCAGAGACGCTTTTGGACTCTATCGAAACTGGCAAGTGGAGACTTGTCAGCTCCTGTCCATATATGGCAGTAGCATCCAGTTCTCTTTTTGTTCTGGCTCATGTAAAAGCCTGAAGAAGGTCGAAGTCTACAACTACTGAAACATTGTGGGTATCGTAAAAATGAACTCTGTTCACAGTTTTTTTTGTTTTTTTTTACAATCATGTTCACCCTATACAAGGCCTAAAAGCCACACGAGGTTACAATTTGGGGGAATATCTGGGACAGATAACGGTTGACCTTAGGCCAAGATTGTAGTGACCTTTGACGTATCCTTTTGGGTAACGGTTCCGCAAAGTAGCTCGAGTGGAACTTACGTCTTACCAATGGAATGAAGGGAATGAAGCTGGTTCGTTACAATGTGTGTGCCATGACGGGTTTCAGCAGTGACGGCAAAAGAACTGGTGACACTTAGAAATGCAGTTCGTCTGAACACTTTCCATGGAAGTAGTGATAGACCAGCCAGAGGCTTGCGTTGTTCCGTCGGTGAGAAATAGGACTATTGGTGGGAAATAATTTAGCAACCACAACAACGTGGGGACGCTTTTGGACCACATCGAGAATGGAATATGAAAACCCCTTCTCATATATGACCAGAGTACTCCATTTTCCGCCTGATCTCCTCCTCCTCTCTCTCTTGTAAAAATTGAGGATAGCACGAGGGGTCAGGTTCTCAATGGGACGTTAAAATGAATCATGCATTCTTTTAGCAACGTTAGCGGTGAATCTTATATATGAGTTCCACTTGAGGTTTGGGTCTGTAGGCGCTCAAAGTACCGCGTCTGCCCCATGAAACATCCATCTATTGCGACTGGTCAAAATTCAGGGTCTCAATCAAAACTTGTATAAGTTATGATTATAGTATCTTATCTGGCTCTGGAAACGGTAGAACGTAGCAGACAAAGCCAGTTACTTATTGATGCGGTACAGGAAGCCGACTATTTTTCTAGCATTTTTTCTGATGAGTTGTATGTACGATTTCCATTTGAAGAATGTTGCAATAGTATGGAATGCAAAGTCAATGCTTAATGTGTGTTATTCAGCAATGCGTCCTGGGTATGACGATAAACTACACCCGCGTCCTGGGTATGACGATAAACTACGTCCAACAGCAAGGCCTCAGATAATGTTTTTGAAACAATAATGTTGCCAGCTATAAGTTTTTGAAACAATAATGTTGCCAGCTAGACGTTTTTTTGTAAAAAATAATGTTGCCAGCTATACGTTTTTGAAACAATAATATTTGCCAGCTATAAGTTTTGAAACAATAATGTTGCCAGTTATACATTTTTGAAACAATAATGTTGCCAGCTATATGTTTTTGAAACAATAATGTTGTCAGCTATACGTTTCTGAAAAAATAATGTTGCCAGCTATGCGTTTAATAGTTCTGTATATATATATATATATATATATATATATATATATATATATATATATATATATATATATATATATATAAATATATATACTATTATATATATATATATATGTATGTATATATAATAATTTGGCATTAAATGACCTACAGTGGTTGATATGTCATAAAACCCAACCAACCAACCAAATATTCAGCAATACTATAAATTCCTTGACACTTCCCCCTTTTGGGGATTCTGGTTAATAACCCCAGATTTTCCTCGTAGAAACTCCATGCAAGGCAATAGAGCCATTAAGAAGCAAGTGGTTATGGAGTGTTTAGAGAATATGGGAAAAAGAAAACTTTATTAAGGAGAAAGAAAAATAAAAGAACAGGAATTAAGAAGACAGAAGGTAACAATTAACATTTAAATTTCTGATGATCAAACCTGACTGGAGCTTCAGGGAACATCCGTCTATCGCACTGGTGAAAGTACTGGGTCTAACTCTAGACTTGTATATGTTAAGATTATAGTGACTTCATCTGGCTCTTGAAAAGGGAGAGCGTATTAGAAGTAGCCAAGTACTTATTGATGCGGGACAGGGAATCGACTATTTTTTCCAGTCTCTTTTTTGGGGTCTGGATTGAGTTTAAGTCCCAACGGGTCCAAAAAGCTCGGAGCCACACTGAGGAGACATCCGTCCCTGGGGATTGATGCAACCTATTTTTGTCTCCTTTCCTCTACCCAGTTGGCTTATTCAAAACAGGTCGGCACCACTTTTCCAAAAGATGAAATGAACTATCGATTTAGTCTCTACAGAATTGAAAATTCTTTCCGAGAAATTATTAAAATATTCTTTTTTTCTCAACGAAACAGAAACTAATTAATTTCCAAGGTTTGCCTGACATTTTAATTTTATTAGTCATTTCTATTTTCTTTCACGGGCTTTCTTTAGATTTCTATAATTTGCTATTCATTATCTATCTATCTATCTATCAGATTCTGTTCATATCTATCTATCTGGCTAGCTAGCAGATTCTGTCCATATCTATCTATCTATCTATCAATCTCTCTCTCTCTCTCTCTCTCTCTCTCTCTCTCTCTCTATCTATCTATCTATCTATCTATGTTATTCTGTTCATATCTATCTATCTAGCTAGCTAGCTATCAGATTCTGTCCATATCTATCTATCTATCTATCTATCTATCTATCTATCAGATTCTGTTCATATCTATGTATCTATCAGATTCTGTTCATATCTATCTATCTATCTATTTAGCTAGCTAGCTAGCTATCAGATTCTGCCCATATCTATCTATCTATCTATCTATCTATTTTATTCTGTTCATATCTATCTAGTTATCAGATTCTGTACATATCTATCTATCTATCTATCTAATTCTGTTCTTATCTATTTATCTCTCTCTCTCTATCTCTCTATCTATCTATCTCTCTATCTATCTATTTTATTCTGTTCATATCTTTCTATCAGATTCTGTTCATATCTATCTATCTATCTATCTAATTCTGTTCGTATCTATCTATCTAATTCTGTTCGTATCTATCTATCTGATTCTACTAATATCTATCTATCTGATCATGTTTCTATTTATCTATCTATCTATCTCAATCTATTCTTATCTATCTAGCTAGCTAGCTACTGAGCTCGACTTCCTCATTATATATATATATATATAGTCATCTATCTATCTATCTATTGATCTATCTCTGTCTTTTCATATCTATCCATCTATCTATCAATCTATTGATAGCGTTGATATTGTAGAAGTTGGTTTCTCTTTTTATTATAAATGTTTCCATTATTTTAAACCGTTTTTGCATGTAGATGCATTTCTATTATCAGTTGTATTTTCCACATGTAGAGAAAAGATGTTCGTAAGACTCCGCTCCTCTTGAAATGGGTCCTAATAGATTTATCATTTAAAGATGTAAAGAAAGTTTTCTTGATTTTTATAGTGGTTTCTAATATATATATATATATATATATATATATATATATATATATATATATATATATATATATATAGGTAACTATACTCGTTTCGTAAACAACTAATATAATAAAAGCTCAATACAACCTACTATTCTTTTTATAGACCTAGATAAACCTAGGGAGCCAGACAAACCTAAAAAGGTTTCACCTTTTGTGGAAATTTTGATACTGTAATGACGATCTGCTTAGGTGAAACCTGGGTAGATTTGTTTGCTCACTCGGTTTATCTATAAATCTATCTATCTATCTATCTATATCTATATATATATATATATATATATATATATATATATATATATATATATATATATATATGTATATATATATACGGATATATATATTATATTTCCTATGATTTTTATATATGAAACCTGGATAGGTTTGTCTAGCTATATAGGTTTATCTATCTATATATATATATATATATCTATCTATCTATATATATATATATATATATATATATATATATATATATATGTATATATAACAAAATTTTAAGTCTTAATATATATATATATAAAAATATATATATGTAGTTATGTGCGTATGTTTGTCTGTGTGTATAAATTTGAAATTAAAACAATTAGCAATATAACTCTATATGAAAAGCTTTTTTATTCAAAGGTTAAAAATGTTTGTGTTCATGAACGTGCTTTCTCTTAATGGACATGAAGTATATAAATCTGAATTCCATATATCGAAGCAATAATATAAATTCTATTTCAGCCATTAATAGAAAATAAATGTTTTTTTTTAATTTTTAACGGAATGTATATTTTTTATGATTTATGAATTTAAAAATGATGGATATCTATATTTTTTTTATTTTTTTTACAAACACGGTCATATTTATATATGTTTTAAATAAACCAAACTCATGAATAATTATCAATCTAATACAAATATGACCTTTCATGATGAAAACTCAAATAAAATTTCTCTGACCATAGTTCAAGCTCTTATTTCATTTTTTAATGCATAGAAGGAAACCCACCAAAACACATCCACAAATAAGTTAGAAAAATTTTTTTATAATACTTCATTCATGCAAAAAAAAAAGACTAAAAGCATTTAAAACACTAATAATAATAAAAAACAACATTCAATATATAAATTGATGAACAAAAAACAATTTGTTTTTTCATGTTTAAAAAGAATTTTTTCATTTCTCTAGTTTCTAAACATTTAAAGGAAAATATATTCCATAAAATTTTCAAATACACACACACACACAGTTTTATTATATTATATATATATATATATATTATATATATATATATATTATATATATATATAATTGATTTATTATTAGCGATACTTCGTTCCATGTAAGTAAAAATCTAACCAAAAAATACTTTCGTGTTTCAATTAAAACGCCTGTTTTTAATTCCGTTGAAAGGGAGAGAAGAAAAAAGAAAACATTTGAAAATTTAAGGCTTTTAGATTTAATCTTCAATTAACAAGTCAGACGTCAGGTCCCACGTTAAATTCAAAATTAGCCTAATTTTGAAGAAAATTTTTGGTTTTTTGTTTTGAAATGAGAAGAAGAAAAAGACAAGGTCATTTTTGGCAGACTTGAAATCAATTCAAACTATAAACGAAAATTATAAAATTCTTTCATATTTTAAAAACAAATATACTTCTTTTGATTTTTTCATAGGCTTACCTAAAGTTTTTCTTAAAAAAGATTTTTTTAGTTTCTTTAATTAAATGGTTTTTTAAAGAAACTTCATTCACAATTAAATATTTAAAATTAAATAATATTGGAACATCAATATAAGTCCTGTTAATAAATCGAATAGACACTAATAGAAAAAAAATTAAATGGAAAAAAACAAAATAAAATATTTTTATAGAAGGTTGCAAAGCAATTTACTTTGATATCGGAAATTATAACCATATGAAATAGGACTACCAAATCAAAACGTTTATTTTTTTGGTAAAATGAAGGTAAATTATAAATGAATTTACAGTTAAATCTAAATTTGGTTTGATTGAGATATTTTTATCAACAAATTTAAATAACCGGTAAATTTTGATGTAAGCATAACTTCAAAAGTTCATTTAAGGATTGAATGTTCTAGCTTTGAAAAAAAATTCTATTTTATCATAGAATCATTTTATTAAATTTCAAAATATTTATCTTTCAAATTCTAAAAATATTTGGAAAGGGATAAACATATTTTTAAATTTTCTATTGATGAAAGAAAAATATTTTTTATAAAAATCATTTTAAAAAAATTCTTAGTACTCCTTATAAAAAAATTTTCAACATAAAAAAATATTGCATAAAATCAAATAGTTTTTATTTTTTAAATTTATATAGGACCCATTTAAAAGGTGCTAGTCTAACGAAAAAAATCTAACTTCTGTCTAAACATTTATTAAATAGGAATATATACCAAATAACTATAATATAAACATATTGCCATTATATTATAATTTAATTTGTGTGTATTGTGTGTATGAAATGTGTATAGGAAAATAAATTTAGTTTTGAAAAACCTTCGAATTTTGATTAAACAATAATCACCACGTTATCATATTCGAAAAAAAGGTTTTAAAAAAAAAGAAATTGTTACAAATATGAAAAGTCTATCATAAAAAGTTGTAAATATCACAGATACAGGTTTTAAAATAAAAGAAAAAAACCCACACAATTAAACAATTAATTGTGGCACTTCAATACATCATATATGGAACTTTTTACCTTTCTATAAATTTCAAATGGAAACCAAACCTGGCGCTTTCCTGGCGGATTTTCCTGAACAAAGGTTATTTTGTTTCAAATCACTAGGTGAAAAAGTATATATCCAATCTATCTAATTATATATCTATTTATATATATATATATATATATATATATATATATATATATATATATATAAAAATATATATATTCATTTCACAATTATTTAATATATTTTCAGTTTTATACGTTATTTTTAAGATATAAATTGTATTCTAAAAATTCTCTGTTTGTTTTTTTTTTAAATAAACAGTATTATTTATATTCATAATTTGAATAAGAAAGAAACATTCTGAGGAAATAAATTCTATAACAGGAATCGAACCTGTATCCTATACTCGTGAAAATTGATCTGACGTTTGGAATATTTTAATTTTACAGAATTTGTCTGGAAAAACAAATTCCTGTTTAACAAAACAAAGTTTTTTTAATCCAATTATCAAATGACAAAAAAATCAATCTATTTCAATTTTTAAAATATATATTTAATTATATTCACGTGTTTTTATATAAAATTTGAAATAAATATATATATATATATATATATATATATATATATATATATATGTGTGTGTGTGTGTATATATATATATATATATATATATACATATATAAATGAATATAAAATCAAAAGATGAATATATTTATGAAATGAAGTGCTTAATATAGAGATATAATAATGTATAGATATAAAAGAAAAAATTGATTTCAAATGTTCACAATTTTTATCATAAAACAGACTGTGAATATTTTGTTGACTTCACAATTTTCCTTAAATAGATATATAATTGTATTTGTCATCACATATAAAGGGAAATTTTATAGACAAGTGGTAAATCATAAGCAATTTATCTTCTACTCAAATGTGATATTTTTCCTAATGTCTTTATAATATTAAAACGTTAATTTTTAAAATTCCAAAGGACCGGATCACGAACAATGATAAAAGATGCGAAAAGATAGAGAGTCATTAATCGTCATGACTTGCGAAATATATTGAAAAGTTTATTAATTTTAGCAGAAGATAACAGAAGAAAAGGAAAATATATGTCGGGACTGAAGCCTAAAATAAAAAGATTATGAAATCATTATTTAACATGCAATAAAAAATTTATATAACGTTTTTAACAGAACTAACATTAAAACTATCAACTGATGAAAACACAAGGATTTAAAATCGAAAGTTGATAAATATAATTTTAATATTAAAAAACAAAAGTCAGAAAAATGGCCTTTTTGAATATTCAAAAAAGTTAAAAAAAATCAAATAAATTTTAATACCAAAAAAAAAAAACAAAATTAAATTTTTTTTTAATATATAACATACATCATTCATGTTACGAAAAGAAAAGAAATAAATAGAATAAGGAAATAAAAAATAAATAAACACAAATATCAAAAAGATAATAAATGGTTTGTTTGAAAATTAATTTAACTAAAACCTAAAATATATTTTTATTATTTTATGTCATTATTTAATATATTTAAAATTTTTTATTTTTTGAATTTTAAAAAAATAACAACTATTTTTACAAATAATTGATAAAAAAAATGAAAATTTTGTTTTTCGGAAAAAAACAGAAAGTAAAATAAAATAAAACGATCTTCAGTATTAATTTGTAAAAAAACAAATATTTTTATTTTAAAAAACCGATAAAACCATGAAAGGATGAAATAATAATAATAATAATTTTCAATTAAACACTATTTGAAAATTATTCGGACAAAATAAAATCATCTTTGGCATACACATATTAAACCAAAATATTTACGCTTTTATTATTGAATTTTTAGTACAGTGGATAAAGGCGTTAGTTAATTAAATGACAGGACCCAAAAAAGCAGTTCAATACCCAGTAAAAGCAAAGAACCTGGAAAAAATTAACAGGAGATAACAGACAAAATTTGTAAAATATTTTTGAATAATGGGTTATTTATTTATATGTTAATGAAAATATCAAAAAAACAGTGGTTTTAAATTTTCCTTTATTTTTTGATCGACAATTAAGTTTTAAATATTTCCTATAAGTTTCGTTGAAATTGATCAATAAAACGGAAGATAATAAGAAAAAAAATGAATTTAATTTTTTTTATTATATATATATATATATATATATATATATATATATATATATATATAATTATTTATTTAAAATATGATTTCCATCGCTACATAAGAGTTCTCATGTTTCAAAACAAGAGCCGAAAACTTCAATATAATTATTTGAATTAAATTGAATTAAAGTACTAAGCTCTGTTCCATCTTCAAGCGAATTTTTTTTGAATAACTTATTTCTGAAATTTACGCGTTTTATAAGCATATTCATTATTGAAATCAAAATTTCTATGGTAACGGCTAGAGCAATTGTTTAAAAAAAAGGGTGTAAGGTGTTAATAATTTGTATCAATATCTCAGTTACATTCACAGATGTCAAGTCAGGGTAAGGTTGGGGTGTCTAAATTTAAAGCGGAAGATGACATCGTCTAGTCTGGTTTAAGTGTCTATGGAGATTTATTTATTTTTTTTTTTTTTTTTTTTTTTCTGAAAGGTTTTTTTGTGTATATAAAAACTGTCGTAAATCGCTAACATTTGTTTTTTGACGACTTCATAAATTAAAGGGTTTTTTTTTTGGGTAGGGCATTTAAACTATTTATTTAGACTATGGATTTTAAAAAATTATTTTATTGTTTGTTTGTTTTTATGCTAATTATTCAATGCAAAAATTTGATGATGTCGGCAAAAAACCGTTAACTCATGTCTATTGTTTAATAGATTTTTATTATTTAGAAACTTAATAATGTGTAGTTTTTCATGTAGGCATAAAGGGCATGGGTCATCCCAAGTTTTACAAGTTCTAGTTTTGTTTATAATTTTCCATTTTACTTTTGGTGTTTTATTCATTTCCTTCAAATGCCAAAAATATTTAGATAGAGATGTCTGATTTCTTTTATTAATATTGTTGAAAGAGCACTTATGCTGCCTCCATCTGGTTTTAAATTCATTCTTCGTAGACCCAATGTATATCATATTAGTATTAGGAGTCTCAATGGAGGAGATAATACATTGGTATACCACAGATTTTACGCGGCATATATTTTCCAATGGGAAGTCTTCTGGGTTTCTACAATCACATAATTTTGTCTAATTTAAGTGTAGGGTTTTTATTAATACTATTCTGGCATAGGGGTTTATTCAGGATTTTATTATTGTGTTTTTTTTTTATTATAATTTCTAGATTTTCATTTTAGCTGTAAATTTTAAATGTTTTTTTATAAAATTTTTTTACTAAGTCTACTATTTGTAGGAAAGTGTTTTTCAATTCAAATGTATTAGAAATTTATTCTATATCCATATATGCAATATATATATATATATATATATATATATATATATATATATTTTTCATTAAAGACGACTGACAAGATACTAGGATTAATTTTTATTCAATTTTTATGCATTTTTTCAAATTGGTTCATTAAGCTATTGTTAACTAAAAATTAATTTTTTTTGTTGACTTATTTATTCCATTTTCTTTCTTCAGACCAATTAATTCTGGTCAATTTCATAACCATTTTATGAACTCGACCACCAAATTTAATTATTTCTTCCCAAAATAAATAATAATTATAAAACACACAGTCAAAAAAAATAATATTCACCACAATCCAAATGTTAGTCATTTTAAAACATGATAAACCTTTATATAAACATAATGAAGATAAAAGATATAAGCCACTGGGTTAATCGCCGATATGATTAAAAACAGTTTAAAATAGATAGATAATAGATAATAGATAGATTTATGAATAGATAATTAAATATGAGTATTTTTATTTGAATAAAGAAATTAAATCTGAACAAGATTTAGATACATTTTTTTAAATATATATTGAGATAGATAAATAGATTGATATATATATAGATAGATATATAAAGATTTGATATGAAAATAACAAATATGTTAAGACTGAATTGTCGAAATGATCCCAAAAGATTTAGAATAGAAGATGAACATCGCTTCAACAAAATAGATAATCTGAAATATTGAAACAAATTTAAAATTTAAGGAAATTTAGAACAATAGAAAAGAATGAGAAAGAATATATAACAGATTAAACAATAATATAGATATGAAAGATAGATAATGATAGATATTTATAATAGATAGATTAAAAGAAGATTGGAATATTTAAACAAAATTTTTTGATTTTTTTTATTTTCATAATCTGAACAGATTTAATATAATAGATTTAGGATAGATAGATAATAGTATCTTTTGAACAGACTGGTAGAAATATAGAATAGAGGAATAGATAAATATAATATTGATAGATAGATAGATAAAAGAATAGATCCAATATTTCTATTTGGAAATTTTAATATATTTCATTTTCTTTGTGTATTATCATGTAAATAACCATTTAATAAAATTCGTCTGGTTCATGTTTTTTGTGTTGATAACATTGCCAATAATTCTTTATCCGTGTTCATTAATTTTGAAATGTTTAACCCATCTGACCGTATGCAATAATCAATCAATTGCATGTAGGCGTTGATTTATTTTTTTAAGTTTTGTTTTATTTATTTTAGGATTTTAATTCATATTTAGCAAGCGTTGAATTATAGCGATCAATTTGTTTTCTTTTGGTTCAGTTTTATAGATTATATATCTATCAAAATTTTCTATTATTTTTTATTGATATTATCTAATATATATATTATTTATTAAATATCTATGGTATTTATGGGATGATTTTATGGTATCTAGGTCCTTCCGATTCATTTGTAAAAAAGACCAATACTTATAAATATTTAAATTACTCTGAAATGTTTAAATGTCATGAATCAATTCAGTTTTGAAAAAGTAATAAATTCATCGTTATTCATAAAAAGGTAAGTAACCTTTGTTAATAATATAAAAAATTTGATCTAAATAGATAGATATTTTAGAATAGATAGATAGAAAATAGATATTATAGAAAACTGTTCAGATTGAAATTTGTTTATAAATCTGAGGAGATTTATCATATAAATTTCTCATCAGGAAAGATGGATATATAGAAGATAGATAGATCTAATAGATAATAGATTTATAAAAATATCCATTAAATATAAAATTTAGTATGAATATGAACATATTTAAATTTGTTCATAAAGATGATAGATAAAATTGATAAATTATTGATTTATCTGAACATCTGTTCCAAATTGATAAATCTAGCAACCGATTTAGATCCAAAGTCTGAACAAATTTAGAAGATAAGATAGATAGATCTTTCAATTTTCCATAGATAAATTGATAGATATGAAAACAGATTGGAATATATTATAAATATTTATATATATATATATATATCTGTTTTTAATTTTAGATTTCTAATACAATAATTCATATAGATCAAATAGATATATATGGATAATAGATTTAATATATATATATAGATCTAAACGAATTGGATATAAATTGGGGTATCTTAGGAATTTAAATTAATGATTTGCTGATATTTATAATGAAAAAAAAATTCTATACCTTCTTTTTCTTCCAATATAACATTGGAACTCCTTTTAGTAGGCTTCCTGATTGATTACATTAATTCAAAAAATTTTTATTTGAAATGTCAATATTTCTTCTCATGTTTGTTCTTGATAATTGGCATCTCTTTTTAGCAAAAGATGAATGTATATCTATTTTTCACAAAGGTTACAAATAATATATCATAAATTCTATTAATAGAAATATTGTTATAATTTCAAAAACTTTCTTAATTCAGAAGCTTTTATGATATTTCATAGAACTTAAACTGAGAAGGAAACAGCTAAATTTTACCCATTTCTTCTACTAAAAAAAAAATTTTTATTTTTGTTCACATTTCTCTTAAACAGGGAAACTCTTTTCTCTTACCTATTTTATTACTGATGAGGAAACAATTTTATGTAAATGATTTTGCATTCAAAATCAAACCAAATTATCAGTTCATTGTGGGCATCTGTCTTTTCTAAATATTTAATGGAAACTGCTAGTGAGGAAACATCTTATATTTTTCTTTATGAGTTTAAGTAATAGATCTAGGTTTCATCATTATTTCATTTTTGACATTTTAAACATAATAAATGAATTAACTGAGCCCTTCTATTCCAATAGCTTCAATGATACAACTTCCACATTATTATATTATTATAGATCTGTACCAAGCATCTCGACTCCAGTCACTATTCTCATAAACGTGATTTGGCTTCTCTTTGGTCTTTTTACAAATATTTTCATGCTTTTGAACTGCTCTGATGAGCTATTTTCTGAGGGTTCATGAATTTAAACATGAATTTAATCTGTTTTACTAGTTTGGCATCTTTAATGGTTCTGTTAAATGTAATGCCTCTTTTATTAAAAAGTGTTCCTTCTTTGAAATTTCTGACCAGTGGAACTCCATTCTTTTTTCTTGCTTCCGAATCAAGAAAAAAAAAATTTAAATTTTTTGTCAATCGATTTTCTTGTCATGTCTTGATCTTGATAAAAATCCTTTTCTCTATATGCAATTTAAAAAGATCAATTTTTCTTGAAAAATTTATTCTCTGTAAATTTGGTTTTTAACAGAAATCCGCCTTGGGGCTTGAAAGGTTTAAAAATAATTGTTGAAATAGAGTTGTCCACTCATTATGAGTATTCAACACTTCCTCGCAGAAAGAATATCGCAAAATTTGGAAGAAAATTGCCAGAGTTTTGAGGGCATTTTTGCTCTCATTAGAAATACCTTGATACCATCAGCCACATTGAACGGATGTTTTCGAGAAGGCCCAGTGTTCGAGAGGATATTGGGCTGTCAAACTCAAATGTAATATTTCAATTACAATTTATATATACTATCAATCGCTAAAGATACAGGTAAATGTAAACATGAAATTTTCCACACACATATCCATTTAACCTTTTATATATATATAGAAAAATTTCACAAATGGAGTAATTTCCATATTTGGACGGGACAATCATGCTTCATGTAGCCGGCCAAGATGAACGGATGAAAATCGAGGAGGCCCCACGCCAGGAAAGGATATTGACCTCAAATTCACACCTGACCTCAAGTGGAATTTTTATCTTACTATCAATCGCTAATGATGCAAAAAATGATTGACTCACCTGGACCGATCTGGTAATGCTGATCTCCTCATACTTTTTACATTTCCTAAGAGTCAGATTAGGCCAAAAATGGAATAGTGTTGCCATATTTGACCAGGAGTTGCCCGGTCCTCCCTTTCCAGTCTTGATAGAGTTCAAAAGAATCTTCGCGTTCTTTTTTAAGAATGTTTTCCATCCAAAACCTCTGTCTCTGTCGTTTTCTCTTTTGTCTGTCTGTCTGTCTCTCTCTCTCTCTCTCTCTCTCTCTCTCTCACACACACACACACACACACACATAGGCGGGATGTGGCGAGAGTCTCACTGCTCTGTTCCTACTTCCATGGAAAGTTCTTGGACGAACTCTATTTCTTGGTTCCGACAGGTCTTGCCTTCACGTCTAGCACCCACCATGCCACTTACATATGAGCAAACCACCCACATTTCCTCTGAACCTTACTGTATATAAAAACTGTGATTAAACCTTTTCTTTATTAACTTTTGTTCCGGGTTTTTCCATCGGCGTGAAGTAAGTTCTACTCAAACGGCTTTTCCAGCGAACCCCTGCTTTGTGGAACAGACTCCCAAAAGTTGTTTCCCCCATCGTTACAATCTTAACCTGTTCAAGTGTAGAGTTATCTTCCTCTCCTATCTATATAAAATACACCTTAAAGTAACTCTCATCCTCGAATACCCCCGGGTCTTGTACGGGGGGAACCTTACTGTAAATAAAAACCGTGATTAAACCTTTTCTTTATTATAATTTTTGTTCCGGGGTTTTTAATTAGAATATTAACAAGAAGTACGAGATTATACGAGGATTATTATGCCCATAAAACCCTACTCTCGAAGAATTTGGACAAATCTGTGTGTGGTGTTATACCAGAACATTACCTATTCTATTGTAATAGACTCTCCCACACATAATAAGTAGTAGTAGTAGTAGCAGTCGCCAGTTGGGCTCAGTGGAGTTGAGTGAGTCAGTCGATGTCGGACATTAAAGTATCAACCACCACAACTAGATTGCTGCGTCATTAACTCTTATTTCAAGTTCCTAACGTTTTGTACGTCGGACCCTTTTAGGACCGACTTAGCGAAATACAAGCCTCCACTGTGAAAACTACTCTACAACACGTGTGTACACTGGCAGTGTGTAGGAAATAAATATAAGAACTTATATGAGATATCCCTAGACATGAATAAGAACAGTCCACCTCCGTTGATTAAATAAAGGGTTCAATTTAGAATTCCCTGTAGGGTACCCTGATCGATATATACCCGAGGAAGAACGTTCTAAACGTTGTGGTAAAACAACAAAGATGGAGACAATATTCGAATATAATTAACGGTAATTCCTCATCCCAGAAATCCTGACGAAAATTTCAGCATTATTTTTATAACTATAAACGTGGAGATACGTGTTGGACAAGCGTTATTGAATAAGAAAAAATATCACAGTTAGAAATCCATTTGTGTTGTTTACACACTGAGTAGGTGGCCATGTTTAACTTAAATACATGGTAGAACTGCCCAACAAACAACATTGATAAAGTTTGCAATAAACATTAGCAAACAAAAAATAAGAAGAGGGCCGAAAATAATATTAAACAAGCAAAGAATATATGCAAGGCAAAGCAACATTAATAAAGCAAAAAATTTAACAGATTATGAATGGAGTTAGCGAACTAAAGAGGATACAAACAAGCGATCGCAGCAGTCTGACTTCAAGACAAGAAAGAACTAAACTAAGTCAGATGAGACTGAAAAGTAGCCTATTTCATTGGCTAGGAAGAAATCCCAGAATGCATCTGTATGATTTTTCTGCAAATTTATCGTGGATTGTGTTTTTGCAATCAGCTTTAACATGATTGGAAGCAACAATTCAGAAACTTAAAAGTTGTGAATATTAATTTAATCAACATTACTTTGAACATAATTTCATCCATCGACCGATAATTCTTTGGTCGTCAATATAGAAAATTTAAGAACTGTGTTATGGTTTTTGAATAAAGTTGCAGTATGACTATTTTCTAATAATATAAAGTTAAAGATTTTCGCCATTGCAGACATGCTTTTCGTTGAAGGTTTCTTGGACAAAGAAAATTATATTCGGCTTTCTTTTTGATAAGCAGTGTTCTCTCAAAACAAAAATAATATTTGACAAACAATACATGAAAAAAAAAAATTACAGCAATGTAGGCAAAAAACAGCAATAAAAAAAAAGTTCACAACCTAAGAATTGGTGTCAACGCACAAAAGGGGATACAGACAAGCGATTGCAGCATTCAGAAACAATAAAACTAAGTCGGATGAGGCCGAGAATTGGCTTGGAAAAACGCCGTTGATAAGTAATGGACTATTCCCTTTTGATCGCGTGGAAAGACGGAAAAGATATGTCAGAAACGCTACTTGGTTTCAGTGGGAAAACGCAAGAAAGAAAGAAAAAAGATAGAAGGGAAAATAGAAGAGTTAATGCCTGTTTCAATGAAATGGAAAAAAAGTTGTCAATTTCAAATCTTTTCAATTGTACCCCCTTACTTCTTAGTATCGAGTTTATAAGTAATACCCGCTTATTTTCCTATTTATAATTGTTACTGTAATATTTTATTAAAATTGTTAAGTTCATATATCTAACTGTGCGATAGGAAAATTTCTAAGGATATTTTATTGTCATAGAACTAACCATTAGCTTATTCACACATTTTTAAATCATTTCACCCCAAGCAATGCGTGAATGTCACAAGTACGCGGGGGGGGGGTTATGGTGAGTTAAGGTGAGAGAAAAGATTGGGGCGTCTGAGAAAAGGATAAAAGCTGAACGGTGTTCAAGAAGATAGAAGATGGCGATTGACGTTTCATTTGAATTTTTGAA